GAGGAGGAGGAGGAGGAGGAGGAGGAGGAGGAGAAAGAAGAGTGGTGTACGGGTCACGTTTGCCTGAGGCTTCGTCCCGATGGGCTAAGAGAGAGGCGGAGGGGCAGTGCTAGCGGCGCGGGGATTGGAAACGGGGGTGATGCGGAGGAAGGTTCTGAGGATGAGTCGGGGAGTGATACCGGTCCTGCTTCCGGTTCGGACGGCGAGGTGCGCTTGAGTGCGAGTACTTGTATGGGGGTGAGTAGTGCCTTCGAGACGAAATGGTTGTCAGAGGCTTGCTGATGTACAGAGACTGAAACAAAGGGAGCACGAGACCAACTTGAAGCCTGTGCATACAGAGGTGTCTCTCATTGGACTCAGCGGTATGGAGATCTAAGAAATGAATTCTAGATCTCCTTGAAGTCGGCAGCACCGAGAGGGCTCCCTTCACCGTAAAGTCGGTATCTATCAAGACTCAGACCTAAGCAGGCAGCAAAGCACGGTAGCGACGCCGCATTGGTTTAGTGCAGGGGTGCAGACAGTCGGTGGCCGTGAAAGCTTACAACCAGACTTGCAACGGAGTGTCCAACTCAAGTTGTTGAGCACAGGCAACATGCTTGTGATTTGGTTGATTGTTCCTCACTTGATTGTTCCTCGCTTGATTCAGAATCTCGAGGATCTAGATGGAATCGATGTGGAGGGGGAAAGCAACAGCACCATGCGAGTACCTCCCAGCGAGGGCAACGGCCGGACGAACCGCGGGACCAGAGGCGTACCGCTCTCGAGCATCACGAAGAGCCTATTCGAGGGAGAGAGGAGGAACAGTGGGGTAAGATGATAATACCGGCCCAGCGCTCTGATGACCGAGTTACGTTCGACGTTCTGCGACTTGCAACGGGCGGTGCCCTCTCACAAACGTGAAAGAGATGGAGACGAAGCGGAGGAAGCATGCGTGTTCGCCGCATGAGCGCGCATGGCGTCATGAAGGTTCTCACGAGGCCCATTCTTTCCTTCCCATTACCTCGTCTTGCTGGCGTGAGTGAACGTGACACTTTCCGACAGGAGCAATAACAAACCAACGCGGACTGCATGACACAAATGGTCACTACGTGCCAGGGTAAAAAACACGGCAGCGGTAACCCCTCACCCCCAAAACTACGCCAACATGGACTACACCCCCAGGATCCCTGCGGCGTCTCCTCAGAGAAGAGCTCCAAATCACTGGAGGTGTTTACATGGGGAGATAACGCTTGCGGTTGCTTGGGACTTCCGGCAGACGCCTCGGCCGGTCTGCTGCCGCGAGTCCTGCAGCCATTCGGCCTCCTGCCCGGCGAGAGAGTCGTGGCGGTGTGCTGCAGCGAGAGGTGAAGCAGTGCTACCAATAGCAGCCGACCTCAAACGATTAGACGAGTCAGCGCCAACGACTGAAACACTTTACATGCTTTTGTCGAGCTGCTCTCTACCGGGTGACGGGGACCTACAGTATGGTTCAGCATACTGTCCAAGCATTCCTTAATGCGTATTGTGGTCACCCCTCCTTCCCAACAGGCACTCCCTCTTGGTGACGGGTATGGGATCGGTCTATTCCGCCGGAGACGGAACGGATGGTGCCTTGGGTCTGGGCGGTCGAGAGAGCAGCGGCGAGTTCCGCCTCGTCGAGTGGTGAGCCTTCAGCCTACCGACTTGATACCTATAAACAACTTCCTGGAATATTAACTCACGTACACAAAGACATTCGACTCCAATCCGCTCCGACCAATGCACTAAACCCTGAACACCTGCTCTGTATGTTTTAGCGCCCCAAAAGGTAAAAACTATTCCGGGGTTCATTCCCCTGTTCAGCACCCAGTGCGTTAGCTCCTCCTCATTTTCCCGACTATTGGCGGCAACGCTTACCGACACCTGAAGAATCAGACCTTTCGGTTGATCCCCGTCCCGCCCGACTAACCGTGGGGCTACAACGTCGTCGGCTTGGCAACAGGTTTGCAGAGCAGATGCCTCCGCCGAAGGTGTGCCAGGCCTCAGCCGGGAGTGATCTGATTGGCTGCCACAGCGCGGCTCTGGACGCGGATGGGAGGCTCTTCACTTGGGGAGTCGGAGCGGCCACTGGACACGCATCGCTGAAGCCGGTGCTTCTTCCAAGGTGCACACGAGAAACCAAGCCTGCAGCCCCAAGATGGAGAGGAAAAACATCTATCGCATGCAAACGTAGCGCGGGGGCTTGTAGTCCTAGCAACTAGTCGGAAGACCATGTACGTCACGTACTTAATGAGGCACGATGTGTGGCATAAGGTGTGGAAGAAACCCCTCCATCGAGAATTCGTGATTTCGAAGTGGCATGCCGCAAGCGATATCGCGCGCGCTTTTGTCGCACCCGGTGCCACCCTACCACCGCAATCTGACCCTTTGTCGGTCCTCCCTCGAAGCTATTATAGCAGCCCAGTTTCCAGTTTGGTCCTCAGCCTTTACCGATTGCATTGCTCAAAAATGCCTTGAGCTGAACCCCCGATTGCCTGAAGATCTTAAATTTATTGAAGAACGACGAACTGCTGAAGATTGGGAAATCTTTCGAGAGTTGGCCGCAGCGAAACCTCACTCCCTATGTGTCTAGAATAGCACCCGGATGAACTCACGTTGTGTCCACCCGGGATTCCCATAGTCTCACCGTGTGTCGAGTCAGAGATTTGCGTGCTCGAACAGGTGAATGAGAAGACGTTACCCACACTACATATTCTGACCCGGAGGAGTCCAATCTGAAGTGGCTTGTCTCGAGTGCTAACACGTGTGCTGAGCCTCAGCCGGTCCCTTGTCCCGACAGGGAGATGGAAACACTAGGCGGTTTCGGGACGGGAAGTGAAGCTCGTGACGCCAACGGCCGGCCGGTGGGCTTGAGGTCCAGAGTGAAGGGGGTGTCTTGTGGGGGAGGCTTCACTCTAGCCGTTACAAACCGTGGCAAGGTGGGAAGCGAGAAAGACTGAGAGAGAGACAGGTAGAGAGAGGGAGGGAGACGGGGGGAGACGGAGGGAGACGGAGAGAGAGAGAGAGAGAGA